TGAACAAAAAAAGATCGCGATAGCTTCACTTTTGTTAGCGGGTGCCGGAAACGAGAAGGTTCTGTGGGGTGGCCCAAGACAGGGGGTGGCCCAACTCGGGGTGGGTCGACTTAAAAAGCTTAGGGTTGGCTCCAGTAACCAATACGAAGTGTTGGCGAATATGGAACGTCCCGGAGCTTGACGGTCTCGTCTTTAGAGGCCGACGCAAGCCTCTGGCCGTCGGGCGAGAATGCGATGGATTTGACCGAGTCGCTGTGCCCCTCGAGCGTTTGCAGGCACGCATTCCAATTCAAGGTTATTTGTGATAGCAATAAAACGCAGGTAGAAAGCTTACTAGGCCATAATTTCCGTATTACACTCCTAAATGGCGCAAATAGAAGAGCTGAGTGGTAGATTGGAAGTGGCGATATGTCGATAACAGTATTGGACACACTTTTTCCTCCGTGCACTCGCCAGCATGAAGTACGCGCTACAAATCCACCTCATCATGCTCCGCCTCGTCCTTCTTCGCTCCGCCATCACCTCCCGCTCCCCAGGCCAAACCCGCAACACCCTTCTCGCTTATGCCGCACTCCTCCAGTGCCTTACCGTCTATAACGACGCGCAGCTCGAGCCCCTCGTCTTTGCTGCACACGCGGAAGCCCAACAAACAGACCCTGTTCCACGGCTCCGGCCTCGGCTCTTCCAAATCCTCGACTTTCTCAGATGCTTGCTTCTCGGCAGCTTTCTTTTTAGCACTCTCTGCCGCGGCCTTGCTCCCCGCCTTGCTTCCCGCCTTGCGCCTTTTGCGCTTGTTTTTGCCCTCTGGGAGATGTCGTCTTGCCACCTCTAGGTACTGGGCAGCCTTGGTGTGGGCTAGGTCGTAGGCGCGCCCGGCCTGCTGGAACTTTTCCTTTCGCTCATTGCTGCGGCACTCGTGCTCTACCACAGCGGCGACGCTTTTTGGGTCGCCCGGCCTTCGTTGAGCCTCTACCGAAACCCAGATGGAGTAGTCGCCGGCCGCAATATCCGGGATTTCGACGCTAACTGACCGCTCCATGAAGGACTTGTGCGAACGCGCAACGTAATTCTCCAGATTGGACTCCCCCTGCTTAAAGACGCGCAGCTGCAGTTCGAGCGAGTGTTGGCCCTCCAGGCCTTTGAAATAGCGGCTGTCGAGCTGCGAAAGCGTGAGGACCACCAAAGGCGCATTGCGGGCCAGGCGTATGTGGAACTTCTCCTGCCATTGCGTGTGCCATGGCACGTCGACACAGATCCAGCGCTGGGAGTGGCGCCAACCGTCCTCGCGCAAGAGGCGGGTGCAGCCGATGTATTGGCACTTGGACAGCATATCACTGTAGGTCATCCAATATGAGCCGCTGCCGAACGAGTGCTGTAGCTCCTTTTGCAACTCGGGAGTCCATTCCTTGGACCCGTCCGAGTACGGGCCTTTCCAGACGCCTTCGCCTGTACCCCAGGGATTTCTGTTCACCGCATGATTTTTTTTTTTGCATTAGCTGAAATCCAGGAAAATTAAAAAATGTGGGAAAAGAAATAAGGCATAGGCTTACCTGAGCATGACTAGCTTGGTGCCATCGCTGGTTGCACATGCTTTTATGACGGTATATGCGTGGCACTCCACAATGCCATTCCACTGTCCTTCCCCATCGCCGAATGGGCCAGCCAGACAGCAAAGCGAAAACTCCTGGTTAGCTTTGCAAAGATAGTCATCCCAAAACGTGTTAGGATCCAGAATGTTGGATGACAGCCAGTCCATAGTGACACCGCCAGTGAAATCCTCGAGCCCTTCGCAGATCGAACCGCCGTCCAACGAAGCGTAATCACCGTGGATCTTGGCGAACGCCTTTTCCGCTAATGGCAGCCATGTCTCATTCTGATCCACATTCCGCGCGAAGAACAAAGCCTTGGAACCGGTTTGGTATGTATCGCGGTAAAGGGCCTCTCCCTCTATTTGGTCATTGTCGAGCTTCTCGATAAGATACCGTTCTGTGCCACGGCGATTCCAAGGAGGATATTTGAGGTAAAGCTGGTCGTCGACGATGGAGTGGGCCCATTCGCCGTTTAACAGTTTCCGCGTTACATACATTCCTTTACACGGGGTTCGGGAACGGCTGCTTACCTCTGTAAAACACGAAACCATAAACCCCAATTCTTGCGTCGTGCTCAACGCACAATCGGTTAACCGCCCCTTTGATATTCGCCAAACAGCTGAAACTGGCAATTAGCCAGCAGTCGCCCAGACTGCCCTGCCTAACGTCTGACCCGCTAACATTCTTCATGAACGTCGGCTTGTTAAAGATTTCGTGTACGCGCTTGACATCCTTGGGTATGTCGGATTTGGGATCGCGCATTGTATCCGTGTTTAGCTTAAACATGGTGTTCCCCAGGTAGTTCAGCGTATCCCCGTTTTTCACTTGCAAGTCGTGGCTCTACAACGGCTGTGTTAGAAAGTTATTGAAAGGGAGGAGCGTAGCCTCCTAGCATGGGCCGCCATGCTACGCTCGGGAGAATGCAAACTGAGACCCACCAAGTCAAAGTTCTCGTCTAGATACCGCTTGTTGCTTCGCCTACATTCCTCAACTATCTCGAGGACACGTTTCTTGCACTTCCGGGCGACACGCTCGTAACCCTCTGTGAACAGCTCATCCTGCACAGAAGCAGTTGTCGAGGTTGGAACAGGGTTGTTAGGGAGGACCCTGAGAGGCCGGAGGGGCTGATTCTGGTAGAGGGGCTCCCAGGCGGCATTGATGATTCCCTGGGCCGATGATTTGATCTTCTTTTTTCGGGGTGCGGGCATTTTGGAAATGTGAGTCCAGAGAAAAGGCAGTTTGGAGCGACTGATAAGACATCAAGAGACGGCAAGTCAAATCTTGGGAAGGGACTGCTGGCTATTTAGATCCGCGCGCTGACAAGAGAAGAGCAAACATATTGACAATACGGCCAGGGAGAGGCGCTCCCAAAGCCTACTGGTGAAAACTCGGTACAACTGCTCCTTAATTTCCTCTGCATGCGGGCACAGATACCGTACGTAAGGGCGGGAGGCGGTCTGGCATGGACAACACCACCTGGCCTGTCATGAATGCGTATAGCCATGACCCCAGCCCCCTCGAAAACCATGCTACAGCTACAGGCTACAAGCTGTCGGCGGTTAGGAATTTGTTCCTTGAGTTGACGGTATGTTAGCCGTCCTGTCCCGTTGGTGGGGGTGTTGATAAGCGGTAGACTTCCATGCACTCCTTTTTGCAGGTTTACGGAGCGCCCGACTGTTACTACGACGTCTCGGGCACCCTTCCTACAGCTCTCATGCAGGACCAGGCCTCGGGCAGGTAAGGCTGGCAAAATATCAGCCACTCATATGCTGTAAGGAAAATGTCGGTGAGACTCCTGCTTACCCGCATCACACTGAAGATTTCTGTGATGGAAACTGCATAGGCCGAAACCGATGGAACTACCGGGTATCATCCCATAAATCCTTGCAACTTGCAGGACACTAAAAGGATAGGTACACATGTTGGGGTATGGGCATTTCGTGCCACGCCCGTGGGGCCGTTGGTATCGCCCCCGCTGTCGCGGATTGACATCCAGGGGGTGCAAGGGTGCGGGTTGCGCCGCAGGATTTCCAGGGATCAAATCCTAACGCCACGCCCACCCATCGCAACAGGCAAAATATCCCATCTACTTGCAGATCCTGGACGCCGTGGCCGCCGCGGGCGTCAGCGTGGACGCCTCGGGCACCGGTGATCAGTGAGTTGGCCAGGAGGGCGTCATGGTCATACGTGCCCGCCTCGGTCGGCTGCGCGAGTGACCCCTCGCCGCCCAGTATGGTCAGGCTGGTAATCCAGTCAACTACCTGCGCGCTCTGGCTGGTCAGGCAGCGTCTTGCAACCACACCCATGGGCGGCCGGGCCGCTGTTAGCAACGCTTCCTACGTAACTCAGCTGGCGCGAATCTAGCCTTACCGAACGTCTTCGAATGCTGTCGCCCACCTTGCATTTTGGAGGGGAAAAAATGATAACATAAGAATTGTATGTCTTGCGCCAAGTCCAAAGGGAGTCGTTTTTACGCGCGCTTCTCGTGCCGAGGACAAACCTTAGAAAGTGGGCCAAGAAGGCCAAAAAGCCCGGAGCGGGGCTGCCGCCAGTATCTGAGGCCGCCGCGGAAGCAGCCGCAGCACCCGGAGTCGACGACATTCGGAACAGGGGCCTGAAGGCTTGGCTGCAGGTCGTCGGCACCTTTGCAATCTTGATAGGGGTCCCCCAAAACACCAGCGAAAAGAGCAAACAAGCTGACGCATGATGATTCAGGGGTATCGTCAATACCTTTGGCGTCTTCCAGACATACTATGAGGCCAACCTCCTCAGGGACTCGACGCCGGCCGTCATCTCCTGGATAGGGTCGATCCAGGGGGCCTTGCTGCTGGGCGGCGGCGGCCTGGCCGGCCCGCTCTTCAACGCCGGCTACTTCCGCGCGCTGATCTCGACAGGGACGGTCCTAATCGCCCTCGGCTTCATGATGACAAGCCTAGCGTCCGAGTACTAGCATGTCCTACTAGCGCAGGCTTCTACGTCGGTGTCGGCGCCGGCTATCTAGTCGTGCCCGGCCTTTCCATTCTGGTGGTGGGCATCTCAGTCGCGGGCAGCAGCGTCGGCGGCGTCGTATACCCGCTCATCTTCAACGCCATCATCTCGCACGTCGGCTTCCCCTAAACTAGCCGGCTGCTGGGCTTCATCTCGTTGGCGACGTGCTCCGTCGCCGTGGAGGCGATACGCACGCGGGTCAAGCCGCGGCGGATGCAGTCGCTCTTCGACCCAAAGCTTCGTTCTCTTCGTGCCGGTCTTCGTACGCGCTGGGCCACGGCATGGCGCACACGCGTGACCTGGCGCTCAACCTCATCGCCATCCTCAACGGCGCGTCGGTGCTGGGCCGGCTCGCGCCGTCGCTGGTGACGCCGCGGATCGGCCCCCTCAACACCATGACCGGGGTGGCGGCCATGGCGGGCGCGGTCGCGTTCGGCCGGACAGGGGTCAAGGGCGTGGCGGGAAACGTCGCGTTTGCGATCCTGTATGGCTTTTCGAGCGGCGGTATCGTGCCGTTGCCGGCCGTGGTGTCGACGCCCATCACCGAGGACATGTCCTTTTTCGGGGCCAGGATGGGCACGTCATCCCTCTTCAACGCGGCAGGATCGCTGTGCGGGCCGCCCATCGCTGGCGCCATCCTAAGGGCGCAGGACAGCGAGTACCTAGGCCTGCAGCTGTTCGCGGCAGTCGCCATCAGCAGGACATTTCTCTGCTTGTGGGGTGTCCGTGTGGCAAGGATAGGGCCGGGCCTGGTATTTAAGGTGTAAAGCACCGGAGGATTGAGTGCAGGTTTTGACGAGGTTGATAGGCAGGGGAGCACCTGCAAGCCTAATACAGTATCAGCAGCTCGCCTCCCATTTAACATTCATGATTGCCCTTCCAACACTTTTCCCTCCCCATAGAAGAGTCTTTCGTCCATAGCATCAATTGAACCTGGCTGCGAAGCCTACTCATCCTGATCGTGACATCGCGAAGGGGCACACTCGAGAGCAAGGCTAGCCACTTTGGTCCAGCAATCTCTGAAAGAAAAACGCAGCCCCGACGCCTCCGGGCTGGGGTCAGTGGCAACAAAACGAAATCGACACCGGCTACTCGATTCACATGGACTCGTAGATGATGGGATCGCAGGCGCTGCTGCAGCAGCCGACCATATCCCACCACTTCCTCGTCTCCAGTAACTAGCCCTTTCGTATGCCTCATTCGCTTTTGAGCGCATTTTCAATGTCACCAAAGTGGCGAAAACAAAGCGAACTGGAATGACCTGCTGGTTAATACAGCTTCCCAGTTGGTTTGACTTTATTCCTGCGTTAAGCTAGCTTCTTACATTAAAACCTTTCGGCTACATATTCCTTCGCCGAGGCCTTTGCTTTGCAGCTATGGCCATCGACAAGTCTTGCTTATCTTGGTCCGTGGTGCAGGAGAGCAGCCAATTCCAAACACGATCATATGGACCTTCTTTGGGTGTAGGAGCAGCTGTAAAGATAGCCAGCGCTGGCATCTTGACTGCGTCGCCCGGCATGCTTCGTTCCTCTTCACTGCATTCGATGTCGGTGGCACTGCTTGGGACACAGGCGGGTGGGTCTCCGTGAGGCACAGGAGCAGATTTGAGGACAATCAATGCCGTCCCCACCGCGCCTTCCAGTACGCTTCGTCCCTCTTCGCTACCTTCGATAATGTCGGCGGCATCTGGGCGGTAGAGCCTCCGGGGCTTGGAAAAAGTTCGCGCCCTCCGAATCCATAACGAAAAAAAACGAATATCCAAAGGAATCCGGTGGCCGGGCTTAGGGAAGGGCGATAAAGTTGAGGCCTGTTTGAATTTTACGAAGCTGGCACGCCCAACTACATATATAGGTTAAGGTCTTGTATTTTGTCCTCCAGCAACCGCCGGCGAGTGGCTTCTTATTCTCCTACAGCCGCCGGGCAATACAAACTGCATGGAACTTAAAACAGCACAATGAGAAACGAGGATGTTTGGGGGTGTACTAACAAGTATTCGTGCTACTCCCTTTCTGGCTTTCCCCCGTCCCATTACCGCCTACTGTGCTGTATGTGCGTGAACTTGCCCCTCCCCCCAGCCTCTCAGCCTGGCCACATCGTAACATGCTTGTTCTCAATGTAATATTTGAAGCGTTGGCCCAAAAGCGGGGCTACCAGTTGGCAGGGCTTCCAGATGTCTGCCCTTGGCACAGCCATGCATTAGCGAGCAGGCAAGGCTTGGGCGCGCAGCCCTTGCCGGCCATCTTGTCTGCATGCAACTTCCTGGAGGCGGTGAAGGTGTTGCTGGAAGGGGTTGGCCGCTCCCTCACGCCCCTGCACCATTGACACCGGAATACGCCCGTCCTTGGCAAGAAAAGGCCATATTCACCGGTTTCTCGATATGGTGCATTGTGGCAACACATCCTTGGCGGCAGGAGTCGTCCCGGGAACATTGGCGTTTAAAAGGTTGCAATATCCCCTTGGGCCCTTCCCCCTTGCCAAAACCACCCCCCTGTCAAGGCGGTTAGACAAAGAGAGACCCCCTCCCATCTCTGCTAAAAAGCCAGGACAATCAGAACCGCT